GCGAGAACTGTTCCTTCTTCGGCGAGACACAGCCGCGAGAGTTACCCCCTTTGTTCTCGTTAATTTGTAATTCATTTGCCCGGCACGTACCGACGGTTACACGTAGGAATTGGTTTGACGGAACCTTTTACACGGCGCCTCTTTCGTTGCATCGGTTTCACGAGGATCGTTAGTCTTCGATTCTATCGACGCGTCGAGTGGCACGTTGGGGGGAACAGGCAGTCAGATTGAGCTCTTTTATAAGGGTTTATTAAAAAAAAAAAAAAAACGGTTAGGTATGAATAATTTCCCGTTTACACGATGTTTTGATAACTTAAATTCTATACGAATATAAATTTGTTATTCTAAAATGTTGTCCAACGACCATATTTCGTTAAGAAATTACATTTCTCGTACAACGGAGGCGAATTTCACTTTTTAACGCGCTGTAGAGGCGTCTGACCCGAATACGCGGTCAAAAGTCGATTAAAAAAATTGTAAACTATTAAATGTTTGTTTTTCGAGATAGTTAAATATCTGAGAAATAACCTAAGATTAGTGTGACTATTCAGAATTGAGTTCAAGTTTAAATTTGATATGTTCCCAATCTATTGTTGATACCATTGCTATGTATGCTCGCTCTTGCATACGTTTCTTCTTGCACTTTTAAATTTGGCACTCGTCAAATATGCAAAATGTTTGCTAAAGTATCGTCCATTCTTATCTCACGTTTGAAACTCGCCTTTGTCTTTCGCTCATCGACCAGTCTGATGTATCTACGTTAAAAGTGGGTCACTATGCTGCATACTATTGATAGGGTCTTAAATTTTTAAGAGTGCAATTTATTGAAAACGTAATTTAAATCCTGAATAAAATTTGAACTTTTCGTTATTATCATATTATGCATTTTAACAGTGTTAACTGAACATATAAACAGTTCAGTTAAAAATAATTTAACATCTCCAATTTGTCGAGATTTTTCCGGAATACCGCTTTTGAAACTTGAATCTTTAAAGTTATGCAAAAATAAATGGGTCTTTGATCTTAAATTACCGAACCGTCTTCTTAATTGTGTAACTTGGACAATCTTTTTCGGACTTCTCGCGAGAAGGTCGGTCGATAAAAGGGGGGCGAGCAGGGGGGAGGGGGTGACGAGGAATTTTTACTATTATGAAAAATTCAAACGGCCGCACGAATTTAACGGACGCGTTATGAATATTTAATGCGTTATAAGTTTGCAGTAAGTAGTGAATTATTCATACAATACGTGAACCCCCGTTAACGGAGTTTAAACTACATGCGTATACGTACATACCTTCCAGTTGCTCGAATAACGTTAATATTTATAATAACTTACGCTGAGAGCGGGCTCCGTAACGGTCTGGTATACGTTCTATCGTAATTGCGGGAGCGTTTATTCCGTCTTTGTCGCTGTAAATACTCGACCTGTAATTCTAATTCAACCTTTACATACTTTTGCATAACAGCGCGCGTAGTCGTAACTACCCACTGGGATTTTTTTATTAATTGCAGGGAAAGACTGTGATTTTGTCCGGTGCAATCGTTCGCGCAATTTATGGGACAGTTTTTGAAGTAGATGTCTGGCAACAAATTATATTTTCGGTAATGAATTTTTTTCTTGAAAATGCGTAGAAATTCGGGGGTATGTCTTCTCACCAAAAATGGTTGTAATTGACCCCCGCAATCAAAAATAATTTTTTCAGAATGGTTTGAAATTTTTTAATTTCGCCGAAAAATTTTCCAGTCGATATGGCAGTCAAATTGGGCCACGAAAGTCCATAAGGTGTAAGATCTACTCGTATACCTCGTATATAAAGTGCACCCATGTTTATTCGAAGAAAAATTTTGTCGAATAGTGCACTTTATAATATAGAGGCTCGACAAGCAAAAAAAAAGGAACAGAGATGTGGAATCACGCGAAAATGGGAATATTTTTTAACCGAGGATAAATCAAGCGCGGTTGCATTCCGGTGAAAGCTTTTTGAAATAACGACAATTAATTCGAAAGCTCGCTGGGCGGCGGAAAAAATTCGAGAAACGATTTTCCCCCGACGTTATCTGAAGCGCCGCCGGGGATTTGGTCGCGTCGATTAGGCAGCGGACAAATATTTCGCGTGAAATTAATTTTCACCGGGTTTCCCTCGATTTCGCGGGCAAACTGAGGATTCTCCTGGTTCGTCGAGAAAAGAGTCACTCATCTGGGATAACGAAGAGCTCTGTATCGAATATTCTAATTAATGCGTTCGCGTTTGGTCCGTGTAAATATCGTTTGCGCGTTTACTTAAACGTGAACCTACGTCTGCACACGTATGCATGATACAGGGTGTTCGTTTGAAAACTCGAGTATCTCAAATGGGACGCAGTTTTTGGAAAATATTAAATATCTTCAGCTTCAGGGGGGGCATATAACTATTTTATTTATTTAACCTTACTCTTTTAAATAGAAATCCATAATTTTAATTCTTATTCTATAGATTAGGAGAAAGAAACTTTTGTGGGAGACATTTTTTTATCAGAATTCATCTTGAAACGATAATTAAATTATGTCAATTCCACATTTTTTCATGCAATTTTTCAATGGAAATCTACTGATCCAATTCTTCCTTTTTTTCTGGAGGCATTTAAAGTAGTATTCAAGCCAAGTCTAGGAAATATTGAAAAATATTAAGAAATAGAATTATAAAAAATGTATCATTCCTCAGAATAAAATAGAGAGCACTTTGGAAACACACACGAGGAACGTGCTAAATTATTCTGTGATTCTTTTCGTATTGCAAGTCACATAAAGAAATCACCAATAGAAATTTCGTTTGTATAGCTTAAGAAATTTTTTTCGAAACGTTCGACGAATAAAAAGTAAATACAACAGCATTTCACCCTTTAAATTGAGAGAGTTTCGTATTTAACACCCTGTATATAGATGTAGAAACGCGTCCTTCGAAGCGTCTACGTTTCCCAATGTGGCAATCAGTATCATTTGCGAATAAATATCATTATACGTATGTCACCGAAACGAGGAAACGTTTCTATCGGTCCAGTCCGGTTTATCGAATGTCAACAAACGTATTAATCACCCGGACAAGAAAATTGCGACACGAAAAACTGTCATTAAACGCGTCACATTAATTACATTCGCTTTATCGACGAGATAAAGAAAGAAGCAAAGCTGAATATGATTTTAACTTAAATAGTATCTCGTTCGATATTTGCATACCAAACAGAAATAAAGCGAAATATTCGAGATATGTAAGAGTTTCCATTTTTATAAAAGATTTCTTTATCAATATATTATAAGCCGTAAAATGTTTTTAAATCAAACACTTTCCACCACTTTCTATCATCGTTGTGTTAAAAAATAAAAATAAAAAGTGGTAGAAAGTGCTTTTCACTAACGAGAAAAAAATGAAGATAAAATGATCTGCTTTTCAGAAAGTGCTGGTTATTTGAAACTAATCGAAGAACAAATTCAGAACTATTGGAGTAGAATAATTGGAGCAAATTTTATATTCTATCGCGATAACACAGCTAACCACGTAGCTAAAATTATAATCTGGACCTTAATATTATAGAAAATATGAGTGGTTTAACAGAAAAGTAGATGAAGGTGTCAAACATTACTATAATATTTGTTTCGAGCCGGAGCATTCTCCAACTTCGGTCGATGGCAAGACAAGTTATTGTTTCCGGCCATATAAATTCACAGCCCAAGTGCATGCATCTTGAGCAAACAAATTCGTGCCTACGCATAAGTAAATTCCATTAGACACGCCACTTCTTAGCAAGGCGACGGTTTAAGGCCCTTCAGATAACGGGTCGCCATAAAACTATAAATCAGTTTCGAACCGGGAACAGTCCTCGCGCCAAGCGAGAGGGTTCTCTAGGAAAACAGGGTCCTATTGAAATCGGGACACTCGGCCCAAACCGAGGCCTCCCACATGGCACACTGGCCAATTACTTTACGAGCTGTCAAGGAGTGTCTCGAGTTACCAAACTCAGACGACTTTCCTCGCCAACAACAGGAACAGTTCCTTGCAGTCAAGGGCCAATATATCTTTCCTCAAAGAAGTTCCTCTCCTTAGCTACAATCTGTTTACCAGCCGATGCACATGTCCATGACTCCAATACATTCCGGCTGACAAAGGCCCTCGGTCACACACACCGAGCGACCAATGCGATGCATTGGTCTTTAGGCCAAACCCATCAACAGACCAAATCACACCAGTGATTGGACCTCCAGATTCCTTCCAAAACTTAGTCGATCTTGGCATGCAGGGGGAGGTCTCGATAGTCCAATCGGTGTGCTCTAACGCGGCAGCGACCCCTGAGTGGTCCCCGTTGTTAGACACAGCCGCAACTCGACCACCCTCCCTAAGATCGACGGACCCAAATCACCCCAGTGATTGGGCCTCTCTATCAGTTACCACCTTTTGGCAATCTTGGCATGCAGGGGGAGGTCTCGATAGTCCAATCGGTGTGCTCTAGCGCGGCAGCGACCCCTAAGTGGTCCCCGTTGTTAGACACAGCCGCAACTCGACCAAGATTGCATGTTGACCGGTGGGACAAATCTCGTCTAGTCTACCAAAGGATCTCTCTCGTGAAACACATAGCGAACAGACGAACCATCGTCATCAAGCGTCCTAGTTTCAATCGTTAGAGATCGACCACAGACGCGAGACTGTCCCACATCCATCTCTGATCCAGAAACATCAACCACATAGAAACAACCTTATCCTCTCCATCACCCTATCAGGTCGTGGAGACGCACTCGAGTCGTGGAGAGAAGATTTACAACCTTCGACGATCCGATCGGCCAACGTGACGGTCACTCCACCCTCAGTACTGAACAATATTAATGAGTCAAAGAGAATAATTTTATATTTTAAAATTATACAAAATTCTTTGAATCAAATGATCAAGGTATTACAAAATAAAGGCTACCCATCATTAACATTACAAAAAGTGTGATAATCTTATTTAATTATATACATTTTCAAATTTAACTGTCTTATAATTTTATCCAAGCGAAATTGTATTGTTCTTGTTCAAATTGAAAATTTCTTTCGCTCAGTTTATGAAGATATTATTTAAAAATAAATAGTTTCATTTTATATACATCATTGTTGTACTATAAATATAAAATTCTCGTCCCAGTAATTACGAGTGTGTCTTAAAACTTACAAACCAGTTGCAAACATATTTTCCTCGACCTTCGACTTCTCAGAGACCTATTTTCTCGTCCCCGGGCAACCATTTTAATTAATCAAAGATCGAACAACACGGTAACACGCGTGACAAGCTTTGAAATCGACGACAGTCGACGACAGTATCGTGACGCAAAAACACGAATCGTCGATCGAACAACTACGGGATATACCGAATATCATCTCGTAATTACTTGGCTAAGTACATATATCTATGCTTTGATTATGCGCTCCGATCGTGCAATACGTTAACGCAACACGTATTTTCCAACAGGCGCTAATGGGATTTCCCCACAAGCCGAGGAACGTTTCGCGTTACACTTGATATCGAATTACGACCTATCGTCAACAATATTTGTTCCTAAAACACGTTTTCAGCATAGACCCGATTAGAATCAAAATCCTCCACCTCTCAAATTACATTTTCTCGCGTAATACGGACATTCTTCAACGATACTTTTTAGTATGAAACAAAAAAATCAAACTTCTGTAATTGCTTTCCAATAGCGAACTTTAGCGAAATTTATCTTTATTTCTTTAAATTGGACCTGCAAAAGTTTCTGTCAGAAACATTGAAGTTTTATTTTTTTGCTCTTTCAAACATGTTTTTAAAATGTTTTATGAGCCAATTTTTGTATAGTAAGGTGAAAAATAATCCTTCGTGTTTCCTAGTAAAATGAAATTTATGCAAAGAAAATATTTTATATTTAATGTTTCGATTAATTCTAAAACTTCAGAAAATAATAAAATTATAGAAATAATTATTGATTTGCGACGCCTCAACAAATTTAAGATTCTATAAATCTACCCCTATGTTCATTTATATTTATACTGTTTTCAAATACTCACGTAATTCTAGTAAATAAAAAATAGTTCAAAGTGTTAAGAAATCTTCCCCCATTTATAAATCCAATATAAAATTGAACTTTAAAAATTATAGCGTGACAGTAAACCTAAAACAGGAAAGTAGATAATTCAGAAATGAAAAGCTTACCAAATAACTTTCATTTACAAAATTGTACACTTTCAATCTTCCGTTCGTAACGTATGAAATAGCTATATTAGTTGGACTATAGCTTTTGGTAGCAGTTCTACGATATTTAGCACCACGGTAGCCCGGAAGCTCGCAATCTTCCGATTCTACTGTCCGTATTTAGAAGTAATATCGTAACATTGTACCTTTAAAACAGAAAGAGCCATGGATCACGTTGCTCTTAAAATTAAAGAAACGAGAAATACGTGCAACAATAGGTGGACAGAGGAGGTTCGAGAACTCTAACTTTAGATCTAGGTCGAATCACGACGGATGACCTGAACGCTAAAGCCAGAAGACTCGAAAGATAGATTATGAAATGTGCACTGCCGTGCGTTGGCGTTTCTATTTCAACCTAGAGAAACGGACGCTTCATACGTTGCGACTTGATAAGATCTGAAATATTGTTGACGCCATAACAATGATACATAGGTTGCCCCAGAAACGGGACACCTAATTATCTCCGGTTTGGACCATCGCTCGTTGCCTCTCGCGAGTTTAGTCGCGAGCTACGAAGGGAAACTAAAGCGTATGCGTTAGTCCCTCGTTATAAGCACGGAATTTTCTCCCTGGGAGTCGTCCTCGTTAGAAACGGAGCTCCATTTGTCCGAAATGATTCTCGTTCGATGCCTTTTTACGCGCACAGTCTTCCAAAGTTCAATATTCCTCTATCTGAAACACTCTGTTTGTAAAGGGACACTAGAGCGCCCCTTAACGAAAACACGGTGATCAAGGAGGTCACTATTATGCTCATTAACTGAACGTGTGGCACATGGGACACTTTGGCCAGCCAGTTGTATCTGTAACCGTAACACTGTGAGGCCATTCCTATCACGAAGCTGGCTATGCCCAGGAAGTTGTGGCCGAATTTGATGGTCACCGGTCGAATATACTTTCGAAGTTTCGCGGCAACGAAGACCGGGTAACCGAAAATGGTCACGAAGATCATGATGGCCAACGAGGAGATGCCCAGGATCGCGTGGATGCTCCGGAAATGGAACTTTCTCACGTTGTACATTACCACGACGCCGACGATGATGCAGATCAGTCCAACGAGCTGAAGGATCCAGTGAACGTGGCTCTTGGCACGGCGCGTAAGAAACTTCGTCAAGAAGCTTTCACCGGCCAGGATGACAATGGACTCCGACATCAGTAGGACGTACTGAAAGGGGTAAGATCGAGTCCGTCAGAAAGGGTAGAAGTTGCAGTCGTTTGGCGAAGTCGTTAGAACTTCTTTGGCCACCTCGGTTACCCCGGGTCTCTCTCCTACGGTCATTCTTGAATTTCGATCCGGCGCAGGACGTTCCCGGCAGTGTGTGTAAGTGGAAAATAAATGGAGCAATTTGAATCGCGCGCAATCGTCTCGAACTGCGGAGGAGACTCTTGGGCAAGGTTACGCGAACTTTTTCGCCCCGTCGAATATTCTTTCCTTCGTTTCCCCCGTTCCTTGGCAGCCAAAGAAGCTCTCGCGTTTTCGGACCATCGCGCAGTGGGGCGTTTGCGACCGAAAGGCAGAAAAAGGGTCGCGTTGTAAAAGTATTCCCACCAAAACAGTGGAAAAAGACTGTGAAATTAAGCAACGTCTGTTTCGTTAAGAAATTACAGTAATGATTCTTAAAACGAACGTCGCTTTTTAAACACCGAATGAACTGTTACTGCGTTCCCTTCTAAAAATTTCTTTCTAGAGTTAGTAAGCTGTGGTCTTTAAAGCATCGTGTTTCACTCTTCATTCCAAGGGGAATTACGAATCACGACATTTTAAGAATCATTATTCTATATAACAGAAATGTTTTTGCCCCCTGCAAGCCCTTATTTTTTCTGCCGTTCGTGTAATATCAGATTTGATCTACCTACCCCTACAGTACAGAGGCTCACGTGGAGATCCATCACCGACATGGATCCAGCTGTGTAGAATAGAAGAAACACCGTCATATATATAACGAGTATGTGGTTAACCACGTCTATAACATTAACACATAAACTATAGAGGCTTCGTTTTGTGTGCGAGTTGTCCGAGTCGGTGGAATTTTCGAAGGTACTGGTCGATGCATCTTGCGCCTTTATATTCCGCAACGCGTACGATTGTAAGTCTTCCATCGTTCTGAAAAATCCATACATTTTACTGTACTGTAAATACTGTAAATGATGTAAATGATGTATGGATGATAAACGTTCTGCGCTGTACGTTTTCGAGAAGAAAGTTAACAGTATTTACACCCCCTTTCCAAATTAACAACAAGTGACTTCTGCTAACAGCAATAGCTGTAATTTTTTAATAACTTTGTGAAAAATTTAAATTAAAACGGTTTCGATCGCTTTTTTACGAAATTCTGAAACTTTATGAGATAGCACTCTGTGACCCGGAGGTTGAGAAACACTGATATAAACTATTCCAACTCTGTATTGGCCCGAATTAGGGAACCGAATTTATGGAACATATTGAATTTGTCACCTAGCATAGCAAATTGATTTTTCGTACGTGTGAATACAGCTCACGTCCAGAGATACAATGGAATTTTAATAGGCATTTTTATTATATTTTTTAAAAACCACGCTGACCTTGCGATGTAGTCATATTTTCCAGTTTTCCAAAAAGTCTGTCAGATTACCGGTACAAGCGATATTTGTTTTGTATTCGGTTGAATTCTGAGCCAAAACCGTTCTGACCCATATGTGAATCCGCGGACAATCAACGTGTTAAACCGAGGAATTTGAAAGTATGATCAATATGAAAACTACCAGAGCCAAACGAACGAAACTATATGAAATCAACTGAAATCTAAATATTATACTTTCATTGAATTTTGCAAGCGTCTTCCTTAATCAATTTCAGAAAAATAAACGTTAAACTGTTAAGTATCGTTACCATTTTCTTTTATTAAGCATTTATTAAAAATAAATTAATGTAATAGTACAAATAAAATATCACAAAATAAATAGAGGAAGCATATTTGGAATATCAGTTTATTTAAGTCGACATAAAGTAATCATTTTATTTAATGATATTAAAAAAACAAGTACGTCATTTTAACCATTACTAGAATGAATGTACTATCTTGTATATTCATTATTTTTTTGAACCAAAAATAAAGAAAACAACGAAGTATTATCATTTATCAAGTTACCGAATTTTTCCTCTGATTTTACTAGCTGCCGTGATTATATTCATCTTCATTAGGAATCTCTCTTCATTTTTCACTTGTAATATGTAGAATGGTTGAAACCATGGGAACCACGGAACGACGTTTATGAATTATTATGATTATTCTACTTTGAAAAAATTTATGTAAAAATACATGGAATAAGGAATTCCGACAAAAGATCTTGTATAATTCTTTATAATATACTCAAGAATATAATCAATAATATTCCAAATATATAGATAGTATAAACTATAAATATTAATATCTAACGACCGTTTTAAATAAAAACCCATCGATAACGAAAGTACCCCCCTCTCTTAGCTTCAACGTGATAAATCGTGGGGTTTTCCTGACGTTGAATCAACAATGAATAATATATTAATACTCGATTTCGTAGCAGCATAATCTCACTATTATTACGTCGATACACCGATATCGTATCGCTAAAAAAAATCTTCTCTCAATTTCCCTGCGCTAGATCGTTTGGAAGCACTCGACAACAATGCTCGAAAGTCTTTGCTAACGGGCAGAAGGGCAGAATTTCACGTGGCAATAGTAATTGCTAGGCACGATAAGGGGAATTACAAACGAAACACTTTGACTCTTATGTGTCGGCGTGATTACATCTGGGGGCGCAATGGCGCTGACCTGTTTAAAATCGGGTCACTGATCGAAAGGAACGAAAACGAGTTCGTCGATCCCAAGATCCGAAAGAAACGAAAATCTGAGATCCGTGTAACAGTGAGAAAAGAATTTTTATACGCATATACTAGGAATTTTACGAGAAGAGGCTCAGACTAGATAGAATTTTAAATTGAAATAAAATAAATATTACAAAAGATAATCTAATGCTCGTGGCTCTGTTTTCACGTTCAATCACATTATACATAGAAATGGTGGCTGTGACAATTGAAAGCTCTGCACTTTGGTCTCTCGCTGTATATTTTCGTTTATTTTTAAGTTTGCAAGTGACTAAATTACAAATTACTATATATGTAAATTTATCTGCATAAACAAACATGCCAAGAAACAATTTTCTTAGGGAATGGAAGTTTGCACCGAATTCGGTGTATGGGATAAGCGTGTCACTAATTGGCCATGACCTAGTGATCGAAACTTCCCGCAGTTTTAGTTAAATATTAAGTTCCAAGGTTAGTTTCACTGCTCCAAAGACGTTACCCACTAAGGATCCAATATTTAGTTCCCCAGAAATTCGCTTAACATGAATGAATTGAGCAGGAAATTAACATAGTACATTCCGACAACTTGCTTTGAAACGATCTCAATAGGAAACAATAACTGTATAAATGAAACAGTATTTTAAAAATAAACAAAGAAGCAGAAAAAAAGTTTCGAAGAGAAACGTGAAAGGTAATAGAAATGAGTATTGGAAAAATATTTTTATAAAGCCAGAAAGTCAATTGAGGAAAAATAATACTACACGAAAAAATAAATCGAATATGTAGAGTAATTTCTTTCGATACCAGTAAAGAATTGAATAACGAATTTCCATAATTATTTTAAGCAATAAACATTTATTTTAGACAATTCCAATGGGTTCAATTCCTACTAGTACGATTTAGAAATGAAAGAAAAATTCTTTGCAAAATATAATTTCGATATTATATGGGAAAACTACAGTGTTCATTCTAAACAATGCAGAAGACATCAATTACATTCAAATGCTGAGCAATTATTTAAAGCCATCTTGGACCGAGATTGATGATGAAGATCTTATGTTTGCGCAAGATAATGCAACAGTTCTCACCCAGTGGCCAAAGATAATGTTTGTTTAATTGAAAACAATATCCCTCTGTGAGATTGCCTTGCACGTTCTCCCCATTCGAATAGAATCGGAAATTTGTGGAGAATATTAATTCGTAGAGTCAAATAACCATTAATTCGAAGACGGGGAAATTACAATTATCGAAGTTAGAAGTAACTACGAAAAGAAAATATAAATGATAATTTTTTAAAATCTATTCCGAACAGAATTTTTTATATCGTTCGTAGAAATTACGTATGAGTTTGAATATATTTATAAAACGTCTAAAAATCAATATTTCTGCATATGAATTTGGACAAATGCATTTTCTTTACAGTCTATTAAAGCTCGAGAGGTTGAAACATTGGCGAGATTGATATATTTACGACACGCACAGTATATTTTCTCCGGGCGAACCGAGAAACAGAAAATTGTCTCAAAGAAAAAGGAAGACACGTTCGTTCCCGAACATGATATTTTCCTTCTAGGATACCGTAATCTGTTCGAGCAAATTGAAGCCAGTAAATAAAATAAACAAGTTTCCTTCCGGCCGAAAGACGAGCACAGGTTGTGCAACTACGGCACATCTATGTTACGTTTATTTCGATTTATTTTGTTCACAATATAGTTCGTTAGCGCGTTTCCTTCGCCTCTACTTTTCTCCTCTCTAAGATACACTGGAACTCGCATAGCACCGTGCCCGCGTTCGTTGAACGAACAGTGAAATCGTTTTATAATACTTGCAATTATTATCGCGAGTGTCGCGTAATCGGTTATTTTCGACGAGACTATTCCAACTCCTTCCCGTTTCTATCGAAGGTAACAATTGTGCCCCGGGAATACCGTCTCGAGATTTCTCGACATTTTTCAACAAATTTCCATTCTCGTCTCCGGGGAAAACGATTTCGGAGCATTTCGGGACCCACGATCGTCCAGAAATATTGTTTTCCCCGCCTTAACGATCGTAGATAATATTATGCAAGCGATTTTATCTAACATAGGCACCTCGAACACTTTCTTTTTTTATGAGTAAATAAAACAATAACGCGATATCAAAGTTAGACACGAACTTAAAATTTGGAGCTATTTCCATTAACATTTCGATGCGAAAATTAATTATTTTAGTTCTTTATTCTTCAGACTTTATCAAAAATTACTTCTCTCGTGAATTTCATTCCCTTTCTAAATATATCTTATTCCTAGAATTCGAGTACTCGTCAGAAAAGCGAATATTAAATTGTTCCAACAGCCCCAGGCCCAGAGTTGGGCAAATTTTAATCTCAAATAAAATATTGGTTTAAAAGATTCGTTAATAGATTCTGATTTACAATTGAAACGTACATAGTATTGATCTAAAATTCGTATTCCTTATTAGCGAATTAATTATTTTAGTTCCATAATGAAAAGTCCTGTCACCCATTTATTTACGGAAAAATTACGAAAACACATTCACCGTTTGACCACAAATTTATCTTACGATGTTCTTGCACCAATTGGCTCCTCTCTCAATAATTAACGTGGAAAGGCGGTTGAAAACACTTATTTACTAACAATTATACGCAAACGTTTGGCAAACGACGAAAGTTTCGGGGCGGGAAAAAAAACAGAAAAAAATTTCGTTGAATTTAAAGAGAGGCTCGTTAACTCACCAAACAACTCGTTCCCTCGCGTAATCACGACGAACGTTTTTTTTAAATTGCACGCGAGTTTCAGCGGCGCGAGTTACGACGGCGATTCGAGTACGACTACTGTCGTACCAATTGAGGAAATCTCATAATTGAGTGAAACACGCCACTGTCGCAATATAAGAAGAGTCGCTATGTTTTCCCCCCCCGGTTGCAAGACCGATAATCGAAACGATGCGTCGTGGAACACGTGACCGCCCCGTGTGCATCACTCATTAATTAAAAACAGAACCGAGGGGTACGCGTTGCCAATAATTATGATCAGACGTCATTTTTACGAGCGCGTATTCGGAAGTTCGACGGCCGTCAGGTGTGCGAGCAGTCACCTACCAGTCGACATTTCCCATGCAAATCGAATGCAATTTCGTTGAATCGGATTATTGAATTTAGATTCGATCGGACCAGAATAGAATTATACGAAAAGTTCGCCGCCCTTTAATTGAGATTAATCCCGTGTTCTTTCGTCGGAAACGGTTAGATTACACGATCGCGTCAGAATCGGGCTCGAAAATAAGGATTATTCGAGCGATTCGTTTCGATATCGTGATCTATTTTCGATTAAACAATGTTTCGTCGTTGCACTCTTGCCAACCATTAACACTTTATTCTTTGTATTTTATATAATTAAGCTTCTGATAACACATTCTACAATGGTTGTGGCGTTACTGAATTTGAGAAATCAAATGAATAAAATTATTTGCAGGAGATTATTCAAACCCAACATGTCGCACTAAATAGTAAATAATTTGTTTAGCCACGCTTGGAAGAAGCTTTGACCGAAAATGAGGAAAGATAAATTTTACATACAATTCTAAACTGGAGAGTACCATTTACAGTAAAATTTTAAATTACTGTAAATTAATATAAAATGTTGTTCGAATCAAGAAAATTAGATTTTTCATCGCAATAAAGGAGCAATGCGCTCAAAATATCTATTAAAAAAATGATTCCATAAAAAAAGAAATTATTTTCTTTTTATACGTATCTCGTTTCACCGAATTTAATTATTACTAACAAAGACTGGGAGTTCCTTTCAGAGGAAAATTAATAGTGAAATGAAATATGAAAATTCATCCGCCTTTATTACTTATAAAAGCTGTTTCAATGAACATCAACATATTTATGTTCTCTACACGAATTCGTACACGTGTATTTTATTTATTAAAATATCAAGGGAGCTTGTTTAATTCAACAGCACTGGATATAAAAAAGAATTATACGTTTTGTAATTGAAAAAATGAATTGGAAGAAGAATTATTAATATGCTATATGTTTTATGAAATTGCAAAAATGCATGAATGGAAATGCTTGGCCATTTGATAAACAATTCGTTTATATTCAATAACGAATGGAAAAATATGATATAAATACAAATAAGTGTCCATTATCGTTGGGAATTATTATATTTTAATAACATTTTCCTGGTGCATTGACAAATGCGAGTAAATCACCGAACTTAGCCTTGAAGCTGTGTTTTCCTCTTTCTCGTATGTACTCCCCCGCATTCAATAATCATGAGCTTCGTTGATAGGCTCGAGTTACAGACGTTGCATACGATAAAAGAATTGTTATTCGAAATACAGTCTCAGTGAAAATTATGCAACGCGTATCGTGGAATATTTTGACTAAATTTTAACTAATTTAAAAAATAGATTAAAATTCTGAAACGAATAACTTTCCGAAGAATGTTTTATTTTTTAATTATTTTACAAATTTTAAGGGTTATTAACAGTGTTATTATGCAATTATGTGTACAATTTAAGGGCGTGAGATCAATTTGTCATATTTTAATTTTCCTTATTTTTTTTTTGTATTATTCTGTTAATAAACATAGTTAAAATATTCGACGATACACAATATACGATTTTCACTGTGACTGTACATGAACTGTCATTTTCACGCTGTTGTTATCTTGATGAGTATTACATAACTAAAACACATACTGTCTCCTTTTGTATAATGTCTACAATTTTATAACATAAAGTAATAATTTTCCATCTTAATTAATTCGTTGTACTTCAGACTCTATGAATTTTTTATTCAGTTTCAAGTTTAAAATTAGTTGCTTTCTCTAAACATTACCAATTGTATATTCAGAAATGTTTAAAGTTCTCGTACAGCTTTGAAGATATTAAAATTTTCTATATATTTTTTAAATTAAAAATTGCATGCTTTTTCTCCGAATGAAATTTTCTATATATTTTTAATATTAAAAATTACATGCTTTTTTTCCGAATAAAATTTTCTATATATTTTTAATATTAAAAATAATACGTTTTTCCTTTGAATGATCAATTAGGATCGAAAATATTAAAATTTTCCGTGCGCTCCTTTTGATATGAAATGCCTCGTGTTCGAATAACCGTGTCTATAATTCGATAATAATTCAAACGAAAAATACAGTTCGTGCAATATGCTTATCAATGGGTTTAAAAGATTATGAAGGATAGAATTCGACGAGCGATATTTTAATTTAATCAGCCCGAACGGTGCATTTAGCTCGCGGATGGAGGTATTCGGGGACGTGCATAATTTATTTAGTAATAATTGCGCTAATTACGAAACGGGATTATTCCGGTGACGTCTCTGTAAAAATAAAAACAACGAGAATCTACGAAAATCCGGCTAACGAATGAATTAATTCAACGCGACCAGCGGCCAACGTTATTTAGCTGCATTCGTATCCCTCTATCCGGAAAACATCTATACGTTGCGTTGTTTACAAACGTATGAGGCTACGGTTTTGCAACATACCTTTCCAAAGATATTTTCAATGAAATATTCACTTGATTATTTACTTGATATCGTTAATCACCTCATTAACAGGATTGATCTTGGTAATAAACTAAATTAAAATATCCCTGCAATTTGTTAGAGTTAATTTGTAAATTCTATTCATGGCTCCAAATGGCTGCTCGTTCCACATTTAAACCTTTTGCTGATTGCCAGGGGATGGATAAATGCGTTCGTTATAAACAATTTGTCCTGATTCACTACGCTTTGCAACGATGATTAACACTCGATGCCCAATTCATCAAAGCATTGTGAAAGATCCTGACAGGAAATTAAACGTCATTATCGACGTGATAAAAATTCCAATTGAAATATACGTCTGATCGAAAAGTTCTAGGATATTATTATTTGATAATAAAAATTATATTTTAAATACAGAAACGTCTAACAACGAAATTCTTGAGTATCGTTTATAAATCCGCACGTTCTCGAAATACTTGTAAAATAAATCTGTTCTTTTCTGTGATCAATCAACTTCAGATTAGGTAGTCGTGTCAGCCCTATAATTCCGATTACTGATAAAACAATTAAAATTAAACAAACAATGAAACGAATCTATCTCGGAACGCACCGTTTTTAAAAGTTCGCTGTACCCAGGATTTTTCGCGCATGAAATTCGAAGCTGTAATTATCTTAATTACTAGCCTCGTATCGCCCGAGCAAATATGTCCATTTCAAAAATGATATTTACACAAAATAGAAATAATAATTTATAGGATGAATCACCTCGATACTCGTTAATGATTCCCCGAATGCAAATACTATCAACCACCTTTTACGATTAATCATTTCCAACGAATCGATAGTGCTCGTTACGGGGAACGTTATTAATGTTTTTATTTTAATCTGGAAAGCGAGTTACGATTTTATGAGACGTCAAGTTGCGCAGCAATCGTCACGGTTCGGTCGAGTTTCTCTTTACTCGAGAACAATATTTAGGTACTCGATAGGATCTGTATTCATCGACATCGCGTGTGCGTTTTCTCACGTAGAGATTAAGCATTTTGATTATCGAACGCAATTAATTTTTATCGTGCCGTTCGATAGTGTCACGATAAAGTGTTATCGAACCTTGGCCTTTTTACGCTGCCCCGTTGTTCCGTCCGTTTCGCGGAAGTTCTCGAAAATCGGAAATTTCTTGCTAGCAGCGTCCTCTTCGACGGTGCAAAGAAAGGGGCTGGAAGAAGGTAAAAAGGATTGGAAGTAAAATTAATTAGCAGAGTCGTCGCGATAGAGGATTTTCAATTTTAATTACCCGGCTTAACGAACTCTTAATTAGAAGCAGAGAGTGTTATAATTAACATCTACGTACCGCGATTTATTTTTATCGCCCGGGTAAAAGCAGTAATGAAATAAACAGGGTGCATCGTGACACGTGGGGCCCACTTCAGTCGTGAATTGGGGCCACAAAAGCGATGAAAGGAGCCCTCTTTCCCTCTTTGCCTCTATTTTTATACGTACTCGAACGATTCTTAATCAAGACTCGGAATTTTTTACATTAATTTTAACGAAAAACCGCGTCTATTTACAATATCTTCGCTGTCCGTTCCGGCGAGTGATCCGTCGAAATTTGATTAAAAATTAATAATATTCAGAAAAGTTAGATTCAAATATGGTAATGCGATTTCCAGACTGTGAACGTGATTTCAGATTCACGAGAAATCAGAAAAAAAACCGATGAAATTTAAAAAACATACATGTTCCATATGCCGGAGACAGAATGAGAAAATCTTCGTTTTATTAGTATATCACTGAATTTGCTCGGTTTCTTCGATTTCAATATCTTTTTTACCCTTTTCTGTGAATTTCCTACGCAGAAAAATTTTATTCGCCTAGCGAGGAATCTAATATTTTATGTAAATCACGTTACAAACGTAACTCGATGGCAAACGTGCCTTGGCTCATACTGGGATTAATAATACGGTTGATGTCGTGCTTATCTTTTTCACACCGATCTTTATAATGAAAGACAAACCTTTCTTATGTAGAAAAAATTACGATTAACATTAATAAAAATTTAACAGAGAACTCTTTTGTTATTTATTTGTGTCTATGTATCCGGAGAAATAAAATGGTAGATCATTTGGTTGATAGACCAAAGAAAGAACAATTGAATCTACTGGAATATTTTAATATATTTAACTGAAACTTGCAGTATGTAAAAAATAAATTTTGAATATATCCTAATGACTATTTTTCTATCCATTCTTTATGAAAACAGGAGACCTAATAATTTAAAATGTAAACTAAAGCAGTAGGATGTAAAGAAAACAAAAACAAATTATAGTGGCGTTAAAAATCCGTAAAAT